GCCCCAGCAGCTTGAAAAATATGCTGGGTATGTGCATGCATGAACCATGGGGAAATGGAGGATTGTGGCATGGCCATTCCACATGGGGGTGCTTCCTCCCTCTCCCCCGCCCTCTCTCTCTTTCTCTGGTAAGCACACAGGCCCTCTACCAAATTAGAAATAAAACAAGTTGATTCCAGCATCAATTTGGCCCACTACAGTGTGTGGCACCTTGACTCAGGCAAAGAGCAGGACGTAGCCCTGTTTACTCTAGTGCTTTTCCGACGCAGCCCATCTCTGCGGCTGGGCAGACACTGGGCCCACTGTGCGTCTGCCTTCCTTCCCTGGGAGGAGACGCTTTTTCTCCCAATCCCCACGATAAAATGCCTGAGAGAGAGATTTTTGCTATAGGACGTATGTGCTCGCTAGAGAGACGGAGAAACAGAAACTGAGAAATCACCCCCCAGGGGATGGGCATGCTGCAATCCCTTCTCCTCTAGTCTCCTCTCAGGATCTTGGGCACACACGTACATGTGCCCTGTGTGAGTTTTAAGCTGCCGGGTCCAGGAGTCAAACTGCAGTCGACTACATAGGAGTTCAGCAGTGTAAAATTCGGTTCACCAAGTATTTGGCCACTCACTCTAGACAACCATTATAGTATTAATCAGCACATTATTGACATTTAAATTCTGAGACCATTTCTTTGGTTCAACCTTAAAAGCCAACTGGATTTTATTTATTTTCAGTTTTAGCCAGAGATGAAGTGTGCTCACTGGAGAGGGACAAGAGAGAGAGAGAGCTTCCAGCACAGGGAGTGGCCACTGCAGTCCCTTCTCCATTGGGATTCTGGGCACTCACATACCCAGCATGTTTCTCGAGCTACTGGGTCTGGGACTCGAACCACACAGCAGGCTCTGTGGGACCCAGCTGCCTCAACGACACACCACAGGTTGGTCCAGCAAACTAGTTGAAAAGAATTGCTTCTGAGATGTGTCTGAAATATAATTACTGGCAGATGCAAGTATTCAGATCAATGAGTGAAGGGCTCAGCTCAGGGTGTCGACTTTAACTGTATTTGGGACCAAATACATTCTTTGCTTCTTTGTCAGGTCCAATAAAACCCTGGCTGACTCCCTGGACAAGGCGCACGACCCCAGTGATCCTGTCGTGAACAGGCTGCTGCGCTCCATGGCCACGCAGGCCATGTCCAACGCGCTGTATTTCTCCACCGGCTCGTGCGCAGAAGAGGAGTTCCATCACTATGGTGGGGATCACGTTTTCCTGTTTGTGAAAACCCTGAGCAGGTGGTTTCGAAGTATATGTTCGTTCATTTTGATCTCTCGGTTTCTTTTTGGAGGTCTTGCACTAGATAAATACACCCACTTCACCTCTCCAATAAGAAGATACTCGGATATCGTAGTCCACCGATTGCTAATGGCAGCCATTTCGAAAGACAGGAGAATGGACGTCAAGGACAATTTATTCAGCAACAAAGATCTCGAGGAATTATGCAGACATATCAACAACAGAAACCGAGTAAGGGATTTTAAGATTTTCTTACTAATTATGCCTTGCTAAAGGAGTATCAGCTTCATCATATAGCAGGGTGAACGACTTAATTCTGGCCATTTAGGTTCTGGATTATTCTAATCAGTGTTCTCAGTAGATGTACACATGTTCGGAGATAACATGGATTTGGGGGATTGGACAATAAATTAGGTATTGTTCCTAGAAAAACAGAAATGTAAAGGTTCAAGTGACACATAGAGCTATATAGACAGGGCCGACCCAATGGCACAGTGAGTTGGTGCTGTGCATAGAGGACTGGGTCCCACATGGCTGACTGTGGTTCGAATCCTAGACCTGGACGTGTGGGTATGTGCCCAAGATCCTGAGAGGAGAATGGAGGAAAAGGGATTGCAGCATGGCCATCCCCGCTGGGGGATTTCTCGCTCTCTGTCTCTGTCTTTCTGACGAGCACACACGTTGTAGCAAAAACCTCTCCAAAAAAAACACAAAAAGATTGCATAGTATAGGGCCAGCTGGGGGGAGCATGGTGGTTAATTTAATGCAGCTGAATTCCACATGGCCAACTGAATGGTTCAAGTCCTGGTCCTGGTGGCTTGAAATACATCAGGCATGTGTGCGTGCATGCCCCAAATTCCAACAGGAAAATGGAGCAGAAGGGGTACAACGTAGCCACCCCACAGGGGTTACTTTTTCACTCTTTCTGTCTCTCTGGAGAGAGACAGAGAGGGAAAGTGAAAAATTACTCCTTGGGGAAACGGCCACACCTCAATCCCTTCTCTTCCATTCTTGGGATTTGGGGCATGGGACACACGTGTGCCCAGTGTATTTTCAAACCGCTGAGTCCAGGACTCAGCCTGCTGTGGGCCATGTAGGAGTCCATGCCTTAACCTCTGCTGGCCCTAAGCTCCCCATTTAATCTTTTGTATCCATTTTTTCTAATTCTCTGCTGTGCAGAATTGTAGCTACTGGCCTAGTTAAGTTTAACCAGAGTTGGAAATTCAGCTCCTCAGCCCTAGGATATGCGACTGCCCACGGGAAACACGGGCACAAGGTTCCATTGTTGCAGCCGAAGGAGCCCACGTTGGGCAGAGCTGTTTTAAGCGACCAGTTTATGCCAGCCCTGGTACACACTTTCAGACTTGTCACATTCGCACCGCCTGGGTAACCCCTAGAAATGAGATTGCCGAGCCAGAAGGTGTGCACCCATACAACTTTTTTTTTTTTTTTAAGAATGATTTAACTTTATTTATTCATTTATTTATTTTAATTTGACCTGAGAAGGACAGAGTGAGAGAAAGAGAAAGCGAGAAAGCAAGCCGCCAGGTCCAGGACTCAAACTGCGGTCGGCCACCTGAGAGTCCAGTGCCCTTAATCACCGTGCCACCTGCTGGCCCCTGCACAAATACAACTGATACCTGTTCCTAGGTTGTATTCCATAGCACTACTGCTATTATTATTTTTAAAGAGATTTTTCTATAGGGCATGTGCCCTTGCCAAAGCAACAGAGACAAAAAGTGAAATCACCCCCCACCCCAAGGAGGATGGACAGGCCGCAGTCCCTTCTCCTCCATTCTCCTCTCAAGATTTTGGGCATGGGGGAACCAGCAGTTAGCGTAATGGCTATGTCGCTGGACTCCCACGTAGTCGACCGCGGTTCGTGTCCCGGACCCGGTGGCTTAAAACTCACGCCGGGCACGTGTGCGTGCGTGCCCAAGATCCCGAGAGGAGAAGGGATTGGGGCATGACCATCCCAGGGGGTGATTTCTCGCTTTCTGTCTCTATGTCTCTCTCTGTCTGTCTGGCGAGCGCACGTGCCCTATAGTGAAAATCTCTCCAAAAAAAAAAAAAGATTTTGGGCATGCACCCCTATGCACCCGGCATGAGTTTTAAGACCTGGTCCAGGACTCAAACCACAGTTGACTATGTGGGAGTCCAGTGGCATAACCATTACACCATCTGCTGGTCCCACTGCTATTATAATTCACACTTAAAGGATTTTGGTAAGACAGGCTTGAAAGAAAGACAAGACATATGTGTGACCTTTTTCCCATACCCAAAACATACTTGGCCCAAATTTGTTAATGTTCTCATTTGATGAGCTATAAACAGGTTTCACTTTATAAAAGAATTCATTTTTTTTTAAAGGTTTATTGTTTTTATTTGCTAGAGGGCACATACATTCACTGGAGAAAGAGAAAGTGGGAAGGCACCCCCGCCGTGGGGGACGGCAATCCCTTCTTGATCTCTTTTTGGGGTTTTGGGCATGCACACACATGTGCCTGACATATTTTTCGAGCTGTTGGGTCCAAGACATGAACCTTGCCGTTGGCAATGTGGGATCCAGCCATTTTAGCTACCACTACTAGCTAGTCCCAAAAGTTCCTTTCTTTCGTGAGAGAATGGGAGACAAGCCCTGCAGTGAATTTCATGCCATGGTGCCCCTTCTCCAGCCTTCCCAGCAGGCCAGGATCACAGGGAAAGTACTGTGTGCAGTCCTGGGTACTATGTACAGGCTGATTTGGGAACCAAACCTGTGACTTTCCACACGGTCTAGCGTCACTTCAGCCCGTTACTGCCGCATCTGAGCTGGTCCAATAATTCATTTTCTAAAACTTTCTATTCTGATAGAGCACATGCATATACTCATGTGTGAGAAAGCTGAACACCCCCCACTGGGTCTGGCCATACCACCGTCTCCTTGGCCCGGTGCTCCAGCCTGTCAGATCTTGAGGACTTACACACATGCCTGGCATGTTTCAGGCTGACCAGGCCAGAGATGGGGGAAAACTTTTTTGAGAGAGATATTTTTGCTATAGGGGTGCATGCACTTGCTGGCAAGACAAAGAGAGACAGAGACAGAAAGTAGGAAATCACCCCCAGGGTGGGGGTGGCCACGCTGCAATCCCTTTTCCTCTATTCTCCTCTTGGAACTTTGGGCATGCATGCAAATGCACCTGGTATGAGTTTTAAACCACCAGTCCAGGATTCGAACCACAGTTGACTATGTAGGAGTCCAGCAATGTGACCATTATGTCATCTGCTAGTTCTAGGGAAAATTTTTTTTATTATAATAGCTTTCTAAGGGGCTGGCAGGTGGCATAGTGGTTGAGGCACTGGACACTTAAGTTGCTGACCATGGTTTGAGTCCTGGACCTGGTGGCCTGCTTTCTCACTTTCCCTTTCTCTCTCTCTCCTTGGTCAAATTAAAAAATAAATAATAACAAAATAATTTGGGTTTTTTTTTTTTTTAGGTTTTGCTATAGGGTCTTTGTGCTCACCAGAGACAGAGAGACAGAAAATGAGAAATCCCCCCCCCCTAGGGGGGATGGCCACACCACAATCCCTTCTCCATTCTCCTCTTGGGATCTTGGGCACACACACCCG